TGATAAAAATAAAACTTTTATTCAAAGGTATTAAACTTGTCAGCACAATAGAAGTATTCTTATCAAATAAAACAACAGAAGGTAAACAATAAATGTCAAACTAAAATAGAGTCTATAAAAATAAAGTGTCAGGATGTCATGCCGATCCCTTTTTTCAAGTTGTGCATCTAGAAAAGTAAAAATAGAAAACATAACACAAAACCCGGACTACTTGTAAAATGAATGAATTACTATATGTCCGAATATATACGAAAAATGTATTCAGGCGCATAATAATTTGTTTGAGAATGTGCGGCGGCCATGTTGGCCACCGGCGTGTTCTGTGAATGCGTGCCACCATCTTGGGTGAGGATGGGTCAGGTGACGTCACACGCCGATATTGGCCCCACCATCTTGGTGTATACCTAGATTAGATATACACCAAGATGGCCGCGCCCAACACGTGCGGTGTTATATGACGTCATGCTCCCTGCCTCCAGAACACGCCAATGGCTGAATCCAAAATAGCATAAAAGAGTGTTTTGTTTGATGAAACAAATGAAAACTTTTTAAGTTTTCGTTCATTTCATCTGAAATTAATTTTTAGTCTTCGCACTTGTCTAATAATATAAATATGTGTGTGGGGGGCACTTTTCACTTTTGTCCTTCTCACACTGAGGATCGGTAAATATCAATGATATTTACCGATTCCCCGCTCTGCCACGCACAGAGCCGCTGTCATCCTGAAAGGCCGGTCCTGGACGGCACAGCCAATACTGGCCCCAGGGGTGTGGAATTCCTATAGCCTGAAGCTCGGGACGCCGGGCAGGTAGTTTTTTCTACATTTAGCCCTGCTTCAGGAAACTGCCACTCGTTTTGTACAAGTCATTTCAGGGATGCCACTGAGATCACTTGTAATATGCCGTTGAGATCAATTGTAATATGCCTGCCTGCAAGCCCACAGGGGTTTGTTAGCTTCTGTTCGATAGCAATACATTTAAATGGAAAAAAAATTAAAATAAAAAAATAAACATTTTCAAAAAAGTAAAAAATAATCAAATAAATAACACTTAAAAAAATAGGTAAAAAATAATAAGAAATAATAAACTAAAACCTGTAGAGAAGTACACAATAAACCATTGCACGTTGCCTTTTACAATACTAACATTTGCTAAATACAAGCAACTTTTCAATAAGCTTTATTAGTCTGAGCACTAGCTGCCTGAACACATTTCTAAGGCTGACACAGGATAGCCTAGGCACCAAGAAATCTTATAAACCTCTCGCCATGACAACGCGGTGAGCTAGCGACCACGGTCGTCACCGCTCTTCTACGCAGGCGCGGGCACTATATTTGCATATTTTTTTTCCCTTCCTGTACCAAAGGCTCGTGAAGTGTGGACGCGTACTGCGCATGCGCGGTATCCTGGCCGGGCAGGAACTCTCGCTTGTCCCTTTACTTCAGAGCTTTTCCCCCCCACCTCCTCCCTCCTGTTCTGCCTGCGACACCGGTTTCCATGTTCCTGGGTACGAGCTCGGGCACGGAACGTGGTCCGGCCGGTGATGGTGAGAAACAGAGTGCATCGCCTGCTGACTGCAATCAATAGGAGGATGATGAAGCTGCTCATTGCACTCGCCCTGATCGCCTATGTTGCCTGTGAGTACCCATTCATTTCTTTCCATGGCTGGCTGGGGTGAGTAGATGGGGGTGTTGCTGCACTTTG